TTTCGACTTTGAATTTATGCATCTTTTTTGCAAAATGTGCACTGTCTTTAACACTATAACTATTATTTAAGTCTAATACATTTGTTATTATTTTGCTCAGATGTTTTGATAGTTTATATGCAGGTGAATTTATTGTGTTTACTAAAGGTCGAATAGGGTACCCATTTTTATGTAGTTTAATAATGGGTTTGAAGTTTGGAGCTTTAGCGGATTTCAAACTACTGCTATTATGTGCGGGTATGGTGTATTTTAGGCATTTTTTTACATCTGGGTTAATGATATGCTTGGAATTATCAATCATATCATTAATGCACTTTGCATAATTTTTGGTGGGATCCTTATTCAATTCAATAATATTGTTGTCATCTATGAAGTTAATGACTTTTTCGTTAAGCTTTTCACTTTCAATTAACACAATTGCACTGCTTTTGTCAACATTTACTATCTCAAGATTATTATCTACAATTTTCTGGCCTATACTTTTGACAGTTTTGTTAATAGATTTTTGTTCTTGACTAGATTTTATAGAATTATTGCTTTGTATATTTTTGGTCAGAATTGTATCACATTCATTCATTGTTTTTTTTTTAAAACATTTTTTTGCATTATTCCTAGCACTCGGCTACCAACACAAACCCAGTTGTTAGGTATTCAAAGAGGAAGTAATCTTGCATTTCCTCTACTGTTTAGGCACCTTGCCACTTTTTTTTGGAAGACCCAACCTCGTCTTTCTGAAGTTTATTCAGTTAGTTTTTCTTCTTTTCCTACGGAGCTTCTGTTGAAGTATTTTAGAAGAAAGGAATGATGCTGTTTCTAATTGTTCGGTGCTTGGGTCCATTACCATTTATTGCAGTAAAATGAATTTTCTTTTCAAAAATACAATTTATTTTTTTTTTTTTTTTTAAAAAAAGTCCACATCATGCTCTCCCATTTTCATAAGTAAGTACCACTTTAATAAAACATTACGTCGACATTTAAAATGTAAGAATAAGAAAACAAATATGATCTCTAATGGAAAAAAGAAAAAAACCCCACGCACCTATCGCGACTTAGGAAACGCTGAATTTACAGTTAAAAATAAGGAAGCGGGGAGGGGTTAGTGAAGTGAGGTATGAATTGTGGTCAAAATGAGTATCAAGATCCAATACATGGCACGGTTTATGTTTAATTTAACTTTGTCAGCTGAAAAAATCGTCATAAGACAAAAATACAAAATCTTGAAATTCTCGCGTTTTCAGCCGATTTTGAGGATTTATAGCAAAAAATGGAAACGCATGATGACACGAGCAACATTTTTTCTTTAAAGTACCCTAACAAATGCTCTTACTGTGGAATTTTCAGAGCCCTACCTCAATTACAATGTTTTAAAAAAAAATCGTCAAAATGGGCAAAATTTGAAATTTTTCCCTGTTCCGGGGGGTGGTTTTTGGCCGTGCGCAACCCTTAAAAATTTTTTCAGAATTTTTTTCTTTAGAGCAATCTTATTTTTATAAGTGGGGTCAACGATTTAGAGGGTATGAAGGGCCGTTTGTAACTAAAGATACGAATGTTGGCAATATATAAGATATGATGTAATATATGAAATATTCAAGATATATAGGAAATTTGAAAGATATATACGAAACTGTCGCAATACATAAGAGATGTGTCAATATATAGGAAATCGACTCCAAAATATATGGCGAAAATCGTGCAATATATAAGAAATGTGTCAATATATAGGAAATCGATTTCATAATATATATGGCGAAATTCGCGCGACATACAGGGTGATCCATAAGTCCTTTCCATCCCCTCGAAATTTTTACCTAATTAAGGCAAAGATTTGAAACTTGGGGGATGTTCCTAGGTCAAATGGAGCTACTTTCTGGCCCCCTTAAATTTTCCGGGGAACATTTGGGGGGGGGGAGGATGGACGGAAACCAATTATTTTTTCAATTGAGAAGACCCCCTTTGTTAAACCTGGTTCGAAAGAGCATAACAAAAGGAAACTTTTTGGGTAAACGAGAAGTCAATATCTCAAACTGTTTCAAAATGGCGTTCGGTTAAAATTCAAGATGGCCGAAAATTGACACCGGTTGTTTGTCAATAGATTTGCGCGAAAATCGGTATCTACGGGTATTATATTAAGAGAAAAACGAATTTAAAGTTAGATTTTCTGAAAAAAACAACAAATTTCCAAAATGGCCGATTTTTTTTTAAAAATCTAACTTCAAATTTGTTGATCTCATGCCAAAATACTCCAAATTTCCAAGTTTCTGAATTTTTGGCCATTTTGGAAATTTGTTGCTCTTTAGAAAATCTAACTTCTGTTAATCTCATGCCACAATACCCCCAAATTTCCAAGTTTCTGAATTTTTGGCCATTTTAGAAATTTGTTATTCTTTAGAAAATCTAACTTCGAATTTGTTAATCTCATGTCAAAATACCCCAAATTTCCAAGTTTCTGAATTTTTGGCCATTTTCGAAATTTGTTGTTTCTTAGAAAATCTAACTTCAAATTCGTTTTTCTCATATTAAAATACCCGTAGATACCGATTTTCGCGCAAATCTATTGACAAACAACCGGTGTCAATTTTCGGCCATCCTGAATTTCAACCGAACGCCATTTTGAAACGGTTTGAGATATTGACTTCTGGTTTACCCGAAAATTTCCCTTTTTTTATGCTCTTTCGAACCAGGTTTAACAAAGGGGGTCTTCTTAATTGAAAAAATAATTGGTTTCCGTCCATCCTCCCCCCCCCAAGTGTTCCCCGGAAAATTTAAGGGGGCCAGAAAGTAGCTCCATTTGACCTAGGAACATCCCCCAAGTTTCAAATCTTTGCCTTAATTAGGTAAAAATTTCGAGGGGATGGAAAGGACTTATGGATCACCCTGTATGTCGCGCGAATTTCGCCATATATATTATGAAATCGATTTCCTATATATTGACACATTTCTTATATATTGCACGATTTTCGCCATATATTTTGGAGTCGATATCCTATATATTGACACATCTCTTATGTATTGCGACAGTTTCGTATATATCTTTCAAATTTCCTATATATCTTGAATATTTCATATATTACATCATATCTTATATATTGCCAACATTCGTATCTTTAGTTACAAACGGCCCTTCATATTAGAGGGTACTATCATCAAAATTCGATGGTGACCCTCAAAGTGGGAAACCCTACCGTAGGGGGAGATCGCATAACGCCGCCCGCACGCTTTCACACAAGAAATCGCCGGACAAAATGTGCTCTAGTTCTCAAAGTTGCAAAGACATGCAGCCAAACTAAAGATGTATAGCATCTAGATAGTTTTCTGAAAACTCTTACATTAGTTTCATGCTGTTTCGTGTGGTTCCACACTTTTACGGCTCTACTAAAGTCAGGTAAAGTAAACGATCTTATGTACTTTTTTCAATGAGCACTTATAATGCTTAAATAATGTTTTTGGAGACATCAACTGTCACATTTACTTTCTCTGCCCTTTGGCATCTCGTTTCATCCAGAAATGACACTTTTGCGCCACGAAGTACTCCACAAAGAGCAATACAGTGGCACTACCCCTGATGGCGACATTAAGGCGGGACGCTTACTGGCTGCAATCCTTATCATTTTAGCAAAGACATAAAGACGGAGTGCTCGTATCTAAAAGCACGGGGAAAAAGTGAAGCCTGGTTTGGCGCTGGGTGCATGTGCGAGTGTGTAAATGAGCGCGGGAATCCATGGCGGCAAACGGAAATTTGATTTGAACTTGTCCTCTTGATTTTTCCACATTTCTTATTCGAAACGTATTTTAAATGCCTAAAACGAATATATTAAGAAAGTTGGGACTGCGTCCTACTATAATACATTTACTTTTGCTCGGTAACAGGCAGTAATCTCAGATAAAGTTAGTTTTTCTTCTGCTCATGGTGGTTCTGCCGGTTCAAACAGGCCGTTACAGTCGTAGATGACAGTTACTCCCAAATGAAATTAATCGGTCGACGACGGACCAAAACTAACCTAAAGTTATACAAATATGAGTGTGTAAGTGAATTTGGGCAAAAATTAACCTAAAATACATTGTTTCCGCAGTTTTATTTAGTTCCCGCCCTACATTTGAATTTCAAACTTGTCCCGATTTCGCCGCCAATCCTATAGCCAATAGTAAAGGTGATTGAAAAGAAGCTTCATTTTTTGCTTTTAGCGCTCCGTCTTTATGTCTTTGCATTTTAGCGACCAAAATGTTTATTTTGGTGATAACCTTAAATCTCCGAGACTTCGGGGGGCCCAATAAATTTTATCGAACCACTCGCACGAAAAAAATTAAAAATAATAATAAAAAAACCGTTTTAGGTGGCTGGGGCCGGGTGGCCGGAAGCCTGAAGTGCTTAAGCACCCTAGCTGATCCGGCCCTGGTATTAACAGCCGACGATCGTGAGGCAAGAGAGGAGGAGAGGAAAATTCCGCCTCGTCTCTTGCTCATCATTTGAAAACATTTTGCACCTTCCCCTCAAAGTTAAATTCGAAAAAAATTCATCACTTTTCCAGGCCTACTTTGAACTTATATTTTCCAAAGTCACAATTTTGTTGGATGTTGTTCCTCTCTAAAAAAATTTAAAGAAGTAAAATTAAATTAAATTAATTTAAAATCATTCCGTACCTACATAAAGTCGCTACAGCCCGACCTGATCGTTTTCTTGACACATCTGACAAAAAATACACTACAAACTAAAGTACCTCATAGGCTTGCTCAGAAACAGTAGATTTAGAGACCCTGGCCTGCTATCTTTCTTACTACGTAAAAGTTACTTTCGGACTGTTTGCTCACCCTGACAATCACCATGCATCATAAGGTGATTTTAATTGGGCTCAACGATCATCAAAAGGCGGAGAGTAGCTTAACTTTAACCTCGTCCGATTAAATTGCTCATTGTTAGGTAGATTCTTGGTGCAGGGTCTCTGAAATACATTGTTTCTGGGCTTGCTCGTGGCTAAAACGATAAATCATGCGTGGGAACTCACCTCGTAAGACCATGTACAAGGAATCCCAGCGTACTTGCGGACGCACCTGCCAAGCTCCACGTCCTCGTGGGTGGTGTAGAGGTTCTGGAGGCATTCCTTGGTGTGCGGGGCGATCTTGGCCAGCGTGGCGCGGCTGAGTATAACCCCGGGGCCGCCCATGCAGAAGTTCTCGTCGTACTCCAGACTCAGGAGCCCGAACTCCTTCTGGTTCCCACGTCCGGCCTGCCCAATGTAGTAGGACTTGGAACTATCAACCGAGCGGAGGAACGCCGCCAGCTTCTCTGGGTGAACGTAGAGGTCATCGTCGGCACGCATGAACCACTCGAAGCGGTCACCGAAGTTCTCGAACATGTACTGGAGCATAAGGAAAGACTTCTTCTGCGGCGGGTAGGAGTCGTCCACTCCCTTGAGGGGCACCAGCGGGAGATGGGGATGGCTGGGTGGCGGATGCGAGACCTGTGAAGCGAAGAAGGCGATCTTGCCGGCCACCTCCCGCCCCCATGTATCATAGACGGCGACGGCGCGGGTGGACAGATATTTCTGGGCCGTCATAACACCCACGAAGACGAGGCCTTTGTACTCGCTATTGACGTTCAGGTCGACAGGGCTCGCATCGATCATCAAGTCGTCCACACTGCTTCGCCGGTTGTGGCAGATGATGCGGTCGTCCAAGTGGATCAAGCGCTGCCTCCCCGCGGCCAGGAGCAACAGCCCCACTATGAACCCCGCGACGACCCCTAATGTCGTCGAGAGGCATCGTCGCCGTCGGGCCGAGTTTCGGAAAGCTCTGTGCTTGCGACGAGTCACTGAACCCGAGAGCGTCAACTCCGACTTGGGGCACTCGTACCTGCGGGTCATATTTGCCTCTCCGCAGGCTGGCAACCCACATTTTCCCCGCTTTCTCTCCGCAAAATCCAAAGCTCGCCCGATGGGTCCGCTATTTCTTCTTTCGCTTTCTCATTACTACTTGGGCGATACAGAATCGCGCACTTTTGGTGCCCGGATTAGCGCCTCCGATCACAGGACAGTGACATGCACCCACCGAGAGTAAATCGAGACCATTCTACAGGGAGGTCGGTCTTACCGAAATCACAATGCCCAACACTCCTGTTCCCAACCACTAGGTATCACTATATTTATGTTGGTCAACGCCTTGAGGCACGCACGATAAAAACCCACTCTCTATTTCCAGGTTTCAGACTAAACGTTGACAGATTGAACTAAATGGGACGGGTCAAAATATAAGAGTATTTCCAAGAGGCGAACAAGAATCCTTAAGTAGCCAGGGTATCGAATAATTCAAAGGTTACAACCCTCGGTGGCGGCAATGCGCTGATAAAGATTTCACAAGTTTGCCAAATGTGTCGCAGATTTGACAATGCGACCTGCGAAGGAGCTGTGATATGGGCTTAGAACAAGGTTCAGCAGAATGAAGGGACACGGAATGATGTACGGAGGAAGGCAAGTATATGAACAAATTTAGGGGTACGTCGGGAACAACCCTGAGGTAGGGATATGACTTTAACGGGTTGAATCAAGATATTGCAAACTGTGGAGATGAAAGCTCTTGAAGCACTAATACCACACCGCGAGAGATAACCTGTTTCCAACGCGAGCATCGGCGATGAAACAAGGAACGGAACTGAGGAGGATCTGACGATCAACACAAAGGCTCAGCCTAGGAGAAAGGGAGCAACGACGCGCCAAAAAACAGTAGACTGCCGTTCTGCGAATTCGGGATGACAAATTTCGGTGGCGGATACACGTGAGTGACAAACGACATGAGAGACGGGCGGTCCGGAGCAATGCGGCTACGTGACTTTTCGCGGCACGTTGAACCTAGCCACTGATCGCTGAAGCACCGAGGCATCGGCTCCGAGGCCCGCTGGAGATGGTCCCGAGTGGTCCGGCTCGGCGCGGCACGGCGGCGCACTATGGATCGAAGGATAGGGCGGAGCGGACACAGGGTTACCATGTGACTGTCAACCATCATATGATGCAGGAATATATGTAATCTAGCGTAACTTTTCAGGTGAAAGCTGAATTCTGTATTAAAAACGCGTTAACGTCGACAGTTTGTATGAGAAATATTTTTTTTCCATCATAGAAAAATATATGGAAAAAAAGTTCTTGAGGTATTATTATCACTAGTCTGCACCTAAAAAAACCCTGCGCTTGTGATGGATAGTTTTTACGTAATTTTTAGCGCTAATTCCAAAAATGACCCCAGTTTTCTCCCTGTACCCTCTCATTTTCCGGAAAATTACGTTTTAATTCTATTAAAAGATTTTTCGATGAAAATTCTACTTTCTGGACAATTGTTGTGTGATGGGGAAAAACAAAGGTTGTTTTCGGATTTAGAGGCCCAAAAGGCATTTATGATTACGTATCGCATGCCTGAAAAGTGTTCTCTTCTATATCTAGTAACGAGGTTTTTTCAGCGAGATGACATAATCCGTCCATGTATCTCAATGTAAAGTTGGTTCGTTTATTTTTCATTTGAGAGGATGGACGAATTCTGTAATTTAAGTGCTTCATGGGCCTCTGCATGCGTATTTTTGGCTGCTGAAGCCGAAAATGGTCTTTATTTTTATTCACATCTCACTCAATTTCCGACAAATTGAGCTTCCATGAAACGAAAATTTTTGGCCACTAAGAAACTAGTTTTTTTTATTTTATTTATTTTTTTTTTGTGTGTGTGTGGATAACTAGATATTCCAGAAAACTGGTGGGTGATGGAAAAAACCAAGGCCGTTTTCAGCTTTCTCGCTGCCAGAAAAAAGTGGAAGCATTTCCGCTAGACACCAGAATTACATAAAATTCCCGTACTCTTAGATGCAAAACAAAGGGACCAGTTTCACCGCAGATTATGCCTTTTCACCGAAAACCCCTAGTTATCAAATACAGTGGGGAAAATTGTTTAGGCATTCAATTCATAATAATACACGCATTTTTCGCTGCTGAATCCGAAACTGACTTTCGTTTTTCTCTATCATTGACGAATTTACCAGAAAATTGAATGTTAGTTCCTCGAAAATCCCGTTTCCGAGGAAAATTTCAATTTTCTGGAAATAAGTGGGGGCAGGGGCAAAGCTGAGGTTATTGTCCGGCAATAGGGGCTCTCAATACATACACCGAAGAGTTGTTGTTAACTTTTGGTAGGTTAATGACCCGAAAGAAGCCTTTCCCGATGGAAAAAAGTAGAGCTTACAAAATGGCATTGTCAAGCAACGAGGTAGGTGTCATCACATTTATGTAGCTAACTTTTAAAAAGGCAAAAAAGGGCAAAACTTCTCAAATTGATAATGGTTCTTGGGGATACGAGGAACACTGCGCATGGTCAGTTTTCTCTGATATATTCTGAAATCATGTCGATATCATTCACTGAAAGTGAAAAACCGGGTTTTTCAGGGTACCATGTGTATGCACTGTTATTAACAATAAAAATAAGGATGGAAAATATGGCAAGGGATATTCCTCTCTCCTCACTGCATCAATAATTGAGGACAAACCCCAAAATTTGATACAAAAATGCAGGATAATTAAAATACAGCGGTAACGTCAAGACTAAAAATGTACCCGAAATACGCCTTAACGTGGACTCACTCTTCCACATGTGCGTTACATCACTTCGAATTTTTTTTCAGCTGTAATATTAGTATTTTATGATCGGCTTTAGAGTTTACTTTAAGAAAATGCCAAGAAACATTATGTTCCTTCACTTTCATTTTTGAAATTATGTCCGACCTTAACAATTGGCTCGATCCACAGTGCGACGGCGGCGGGCCGACGGGATCCAGACGACCGCACCATGCCAGCCACGCCGCCAGCCCTACAGCTCCTTGTTGCGACTCCCCATTTGCCGGGAGGCAATGCACGCTCTCAACTCATGGTTCATTCCACGGAACACGGCTCCGCGATGCTGGTGATATTCATGAAAAGACACTCCACCGGCCCCCCTCCCGATGGCCTTGCTTTTTTTCGAAGCTCGCTTGAACAGGCGTTTCGGCGGGTGGGTCTCATTCGTGAGCCTGAGGTTGAGTAACATCCTGCATGGACATCCTAACATAGCGTCTCCAAATCGTTGCAATGAGCTTTGGCTGCATGGGGGTTTTCACAGATAGATTGATCGAATTTTTGGATATTCGAAAGTTCTGTAATCGATTAAAAATAATCAAACCTGATAAAAATTAATAGATTCATGTAGGCACAAGTATAGAAACATGAATTTTCAAAATAAACCTTTCCTCTGAGATGCCCCCAAAGTATTCCCAAGTAAATCAGCATTGATTTTTAATTTGCCTGAGAATCAAAAATCATGTGTGCTAAACATTTTCCATGATAATTTAGCAAACATCGGGACAGATAGGTACTTCCATATTTTCAGCTAAAAACCTCTTTCTCCATAAATATCAGTTGTTTTGGGCTTTGAGCCGGATTTTTAGAGGTTTATGCTGATTTTTGGAAACTTGAACTGAAAACTGAAAAGTTTTTAAATTTTCGATTAATCTGTGATAAATAATCGATTAAACATTAAATCGGAATTTAAAAATCGATGAAATCGAATAAAAAAAAAACATTCGTTCAATTGATTAGGTAACAGATAGTTGGATAACTACCTAATCGAAAAACTCTACAGCAGCCCGATTATTGGAACTACGTCGAAATGACACGACCGACATAGCCCTTATCTTTACCATACAATGAATCGCATTTTGCAATACCTAATCGGGCTACTTGGATCTTTCAAAAATCGACTCGCAGGACTGAGTTGTCCAATAGTTTGAGCTTAACGATTAGCAAACAAATAATAAGACCAGTTTAGACGCCAAGTTTCTACGTCGAAAATTGACGGAGATATGACTCATCGAAAAACACGGAGTGTGACGTCAGCAACCACGATAAAAATGCATACCACGGTTCCACAACGTAGGTACAATACTGAAACCTTTGTGGAAAAAATCATTTTTTGCACGATCACGGCGGACGCGGATGGTGTCATACGTCGGTCATCATGTTTTTCGATGAGTGATAACTGCATTTGATAATGTGCCTACGTGCGTACTTCGCTGTTTCAAGTCAATTAATGAGCTCAAACCATCAAAACACGATTCTCAGACTAGCGTAACTGACCAATTCTTGCATTTTTGAAAGTAATTAAACAGTGCACTGGGTTTGGAGTTATTTTTCCACATTATTTTGAATTATGTACCTATAGTTTCCAGAAAAAAGTTGTTCGAAACGCCTGACCCATTCTAGACAGCAAATAAAAGTTATTTACAATTTTCCCTTGACGTTTTAAAATTTCTTGACATTTCCGGTTTTCCCGGTAAGTATTCCCTGGCCGTGGCAACCCTGTGAGCTATTTATTCGTAGAAAGATGATTTTAGTGTCAAACTTGTCAAGAGTCTAAGAGCTTTCAGCAGAATGTATGTGTATAAAGTAAATAATCCCTAGTAGCACATCTTGTAATATAATTCGTGAAAAAAAAAATTAAAACTGGTAAATTGTACGAGTGCGAAGATGTACGTAAAAGAACTCGTAAAAAATCAGAGTCTGAGAACTTAACGTAAAGAATTTGTGATCAAAGACGTAAAAAAAACTCGGGGATTGAACTGAAATCTGTACGTAAAAAATTCGCGATTTTTTACATGTAGAAAATCAGGAAAAAAATGTCTGAACGGAAAATTCGCTGAATTGACAGAACAGGAAATATCTTTGTAGTTTTTATGACAAGGGAATTAAGCAAAAAATTCTGATGTCCCCTAAAGATTGTTTGTAAAAAAAGTATAGCCCGAAAACTGGATACAAAAACACATTGTTCTGAACGAATAAGCCAGAGTTTTTAAAAGTTCGAGAAGATTTTAATAACTTATCTTTATTAAAATAGTTAAAACATTCTTATAAAAAATTGATGCATGTAAATAATATTTAAGAAAATAAGGAAAAGAAAAAAGGGGGACATATTATTAAAATGTACATAATTTTTTCACATATTATTCCTGAACAACAAAGGTACTTTTGAAAGTAGGTATACCATCTTTAAAATATCCATGATAAATATTAATTTTTGCCCTTATCCAGTTTTTCCGAATTCAAAAAATATTCGTTCTCACGCATATTCAACAATAAAAATTTTCACGTATACCTACAGCGCAAATTCACCCCTTTAATATAGAAGCCTCGTTTGCTCAGTAGGTATAGCGCATTCGATTCCTGATAGGCAGGTCCCAGGTCCAATTCCCGACAGGTAGATAATAATTTGAAAGTTGATCTCAAGTAGAATTAATTGATTACAGATTCAGATAGGTAAAAAGTCTATTTTTTTCTTTACGATTTATCATTTTACTTAATCAATTTTAGGAAGCAAGAGTTTTTTTGCGCATAACTTTTTACGTAAAGAAACTCGATCTTTTTACGTAAAAAATCTTGCACTCTTTACGAATTATTCTTGTAAAAAAGACTACATTGGCATTTCATTTTTGGTCTATTTTACGTCTGTTTTTACGAATTTTTTTTTGGTAAATTTTACGTCTTTGTGCTACTAAGGATTTTTCAAATTTTGACCTACTTTTGGGTGGTATCATACAGGGTCCTACTATTACGTAAAATTTACGTACTTCAAGATTTGGCGTAGTTCGGTTGGCACGGAGCGAAGCAAAAACAATACTCTATGAAAGAAGAAGGTTTCAGGTTCAAAACAAGACCAAGTTCATATTGGGAAACCATTAGAAGTAAAGTTATGATTATTCAAAGTTGATGCAGTGCGCGGGATTCTAGCATGAACCAAGTCCCAAAGTAATCTGCGCTAGGGGTATATTCTCTTAAAGATTGACTCATAAACAGCATAAAAACACAAAAACTCGCGGCCTGCGGAGAATTCGGGGATCTCGGGTGACCTTGGGACTCGGTACATACAAGGTTCAAGCCCATACCGCATCCACTTTGAAGAATCATAACTCCGCCTCTAGTCGTTTCTCCAAGATGAACTTAGGCTTGTTTTAAACCTTAGACCATCTTCTTTTATTTAGTATTGTTTTTGTTTTAATCCGTGCAAACCGAACTAGGTACGCCAAATCTTGAAATAAGAATATTTACAGAAGG